GTATTGTCACAAGTAAAGGTTTTCACCACATTAACATCTTTCTCATAAGATGCCTTGATTTGAGCATCAAATTATTAAATTGCTTCAATTAGATTTGTGTGTATTACTACAGTAGTTAATTGCGTTTGTAAGTATGAAAAACCAATTCGTGCGCAGTTCAAATGACATATTTGATATATAAATAGTTGATATATAAATTCACCCATCAATTCACACATCATTATGGAAATTATTCAAGCATCCAGCTTCGATTGTTATAGGCTTTAAACTCTTATTTGTTGTATATGTACACATATACGGTCTTAATAAATCGTTTATTAAAGTATTTTTATTCAAAAAATTGAATGTAGCAAGATTATGACTTTTACATAAATGAGTTGCACAATAATAATAAAATAATTAAAATTCAGTGTTTAAAATTATATTATTTGTGATTTTTTAAAACAATGCAAGAATTTGATAGAGCCCGCATATGTATAATATTTACATTAGAAGTTATTAGAAAAGATGAATCAATGAGCCGTCTTTAAAAATCAGTGTACAGATAGAAATTGCCATAATTACTGCTTTTTGGATGGCTATCGGAAAACAGTTTTTTCCGAAAATTTTCTCTTTTTTCCAAATTTCCTCCCTGGATGCATTTTGCCGAGAGCAGCCAGCCCATCGTGGGGGCAGATTGCACTGTTTAGCAGACCCGACTGGAAACATTTGCCACATGGCGCAGCTGCACAGTCCACGAGACCGCGATGCCTGTTTTCAATTCATTTTCCGTTGAATTTTCCCTTTCATTCGATCGATACGGTAAAGACAGAGGACAGAGGAGATACTACGACCTTCGAAAGTTGAAATACGAAAACAACTCGACGAGTAAACAGAGAAACGAGTATCTTGTTTTGAAAAATTATTTAAAAGAAAACAATATTTGTTTTGTCAATTCTCTCGTACACGAATGCATTGTCCCGTCTGGTAATTAAATTTTGATACCATTTTTTTCAATATGTTATTTCTACTTCAAGATGACTCTTCCTCTGCGCCATTTATTTTAACGATCATTTCTTAATTTTCTTACATACAAAAATTTGTATAATTTATATTTATACAATTTATATTATATTAAACAAACATTCTTCAAAAAGTTTTAAGTTTCATATCATCTAAAAAAAATACAAATGACAGTATGACTGTTCTATGTGCAATCTTATAATGTAGTACGTTAATTATTTTTTTATAGACAAATATGTTTACTACCGTAAATACGTACAATAAGAATTGAACTAAAGCCTTTAATTGATATTAATTTATAAGACATGCTATAAATGTAATTGTTTGCTTTTTACTCATGTTTACTTACTTGATCAAATTCTTCAAGCCGCTTCTATAAGTAACTATATAGGTCAAATGAAATTGTGTTATGAATTCGGAGAAGCATAAAGACAAAAATTAGGAAAATTAGAAACTAAAATTTTTTATTTCTCATAAGTGTTTTAGAAACTAAAATTTTTTATTTCTCATAAGTATTTCATCAATAATAATTATTTTATAATATCCAAATACTAAACAGAGATAATTCACTGGTAAATGCAAGGATGATTGCACAATAAGATCTTAGCAAAAGATCGGAGTTCAACACACTCACAAACGGACACATTCACAAACATTTATACTTCATGAACACTCATATACATTTTTGCGAGTGATAATATAATAATGTACAAGAAAGAAAAGGTAGAATATTTAAAAAACTAGAATATAATCTGAAAACAAGGATAAAAGTGAGGCAAAAACGCTGACAGAACATGTGCCATATATAATGATGTAATATCAGTCTGCTGGCGTTGGAGTTGAAGAAATTTTTCACGAAAAAAAAAAGTTCATTAATATTTCTTTCTCTAGCTTCCCGCATTTCTCGGATAACACGACATTATGACGTTTGTGAATTGTAATGCGGACGATGTCATTGACGTCACAGTAATTAAACCGCGGTCGCTGGCGGCTCGCGTTCTCGCTTCTCGCTAATTAATCGTAATTTATTAACGACATCTTTGCTTGGCGTTCGAGTACAGGCAGGTGAATAGAAACAACATGGGCGCGGTTTCTTCCTTTTTTTCATTCTCTTCCATGGCTTCGAACATAGTACCCTGACCCTGGGCACACGGCCAGCTGTCTCACTCCACCCCTTTTGTAAGAGGCACACACTCTAAGAGTGGGATTTGTCTATCCCTGCGCAGGCAAAGGAGGAAAGAGAAAGAAAGAAAGAAAGAAAGAAAAAGAGAAAGAGGGAGGAGAGAGAGAGAGAGAGAGAAAGAGAGAGAGAGAGAGAGAGAGAGAGAGATGGTGCGCAAGGACGGCAGGATCGTCGGGCGAGAGAAACAGGACGAAGAAACTTTTGTGGAGCCCGCGGAATAATTAGCATGCTCTCCTCAGCAGCCTAATTTTAATGGAACACCGACATACAGCGTTTCATATTGTAATTCGGCCTACATTGTAGCGCGCTCGCACGGTCTTGAATATTATTATCTACCGCATTTCCTCCAGCGAAATCTTTACACACGTTGTAAAGTATCATGCATATCATGTGCACTACTTCTCAATTGAAAAGCATCCTGAAGAAATTTAGACAAAAGATTTCTTATATGAAACATTAACTTTGTTTACAATAATTAAGAAATTTTCGCGATATTGTAACATTTATGTGTGTATTCAAATTAACTTATATGATATTGAAATAATGAATAAAAATTTATGGGAAAGACAACTATTTCATTCAGAATTCTCATAAAGTTAGGATAAACTTGTATTTATTAGAAATATGATACAAATATGATATCTACAAATATGAATTAGAACAAACAATAAGAATCACAAAAATACATTATTCCTTAATTGAAATTAAATATGTTGCGTTCTCACTTTTCGCTAATTTGTCAATAAAATTAATGGATACTAAAAAATTAATTTTTATCGCAATTATAGTTTGTTCGTAATTATTAATATGCTGAAGACGATATGCTGGTGAAAATTTTCATATAAAAAAATCTTTGAGACTTATTAAAATATTTTGGCTGTCTCTTTGAAATGCTTAACGAAATATATGTTTTAAACTTTCGATATTTAAAAAAATATATTAAAAGTATCTACGCACCATTTCTCACAAGTTTTCCAAACAACGATTTTGTGTGTCAAAGATTTTTGTAAAAATCTTTCAAGGACCTAAACGATTTTCCAAAAACACCCGGTAGATTTCTGCAGATCTAGCGTAGAGGTACGAGTGAGGACACACATGTGTAACGTATTTGTACATACGAGCGCACATTCGCAGTGTGCGCGCGATTGGCGCGAGGCGAGAGGGAATGAAAGAGAAAGAAAGAGGAAATCCGCGAGAGGAAACGAGTGAGTGAGTACGCAAGCACGCTCTCGCGCTCGCGTGCACGCATGGTAGGCACGCATGCACGCAGACGGAGCGCGTACTCGGCTGCGAAAACCGGCGTGCGAAAAGCAGCCAATAGTGAGCAGAGGCGGGAATCGGTGGGGTCACCCACGTGGTTAACGAACAGCCAATCCGCGCTCTATCGCTGGTGGATTTCGAGTTGGTTTCCCGCTCAGTACACCACGTTTGCGTTCGCGCACGAGAGAGACGAAAAGAAAGAGAGAGAGAAAGAGAGAGAGAGAGAGGAGAAAAAAAAGCAGGAGGTGCACGCGCGAGCAAGGATAGCCACGAATTCGCAAAAGAAGGAGAGAGAGAGAGAGAGAGAGAGAGAGAGAGAGAGAGAGAGAGAGAGAGCTAACGATGGCAGAGGAAAAAAAGAAGAAGAGAGACGAGTTTGCATCGTGTCTCAACTGCCCCTCCCCCCTGCCCTGGGAGGCAAAGGGGTGAAGGAAAAAGACAGAAAGAGGGGCACAACATGCCGAACGAGAGAGCCCCTTGGACATCGCGTTCGTGGTCTAGCTAAAGAGAGGAGAGTTTGGAAGGAAGGTACGTCGTCGTCGCAAGAAGAGCGAGAGAGAATGAGAGACGGGAGAGAGGGGGGGTGGGGGAATTCCTTGGACACTCCGCGAGTCGAGGGAAAGAGACAGAACAGACTTGGTGAACGCGCGCGTCCCTTAAACTTGGAGCAATCGGGGAGAGCCATTTCTGCGAGGACACGCCGGCCGGTCTCCATCGTCGTCGGTTTCTGCGATCGAGCTGCTGACGGACAGCCACCGGAAGCGCGTCAGATTCGCGCAACAGCGCCGCGTTTGAGTTGTCAGAGAGACAGACGGATAAAAGTAGAGAAAGAGAGGGAGTGAGAAAAAGAGAAAGAGACCGCACACACAGTCGTCGCCTATCCGCGGATCGAGCGACTCGCAGTCGGCCAGTTGAGGCGCGAGGAAGCCAGCAGCGGAAAACAAAAGAAGGAAGGTGCCAAGCCCGATCGAGGACCGATCTCGTCGCAGAAGTCGTCCAAGGACCCCGTGCTCTCTCTCACCCCGTGCATTTTGCCTCTCGCGTGTGCAGCCCGTGACCCACACGCGATCCGCGATCTGATCCACGTTCGTGTCCGGGATTCAGCCAACAGTTATATCCGCGTCTCGTCCCAGTAATAAGGATATATCATCGGATCGGACGCCTGCAACTCCTGCCGCCGATCTAACCCGCGCGATTGCTCCATTATCGCCGGTACCATATACTCCGTTTTCCTTCCACATCATTCAATCATCGTCCTGTGATCGTCGCGATCCCTATCGTGTCGTGTCCGCGTTCAAACCACTGAACTCCCGCCGGGTCCACGTAGACCCCGAGTCTACGACGAGGTCAGTACTCGGGGAATCGGGTACGCGAGTCCGCGCGCACGCGCACCGAATTCGTCGTTTTCGTTAAACCTAATACACGTGACCGAGCCGCGTACTCGGTGGAAGCCGGCATCATAGCGTCGAGAAGCGAGCAGCCAGCCACCATGTCAAAGCTCTACGTGGGCAATCTGCCGTCAGATTGCAACGAGAGCGCTCTCAGGCAACTTTTCCAGGAGCACAGCTTGGCATGCACCACGATCCTGGTAAAACGTGGCGGCTACGCCTTCGTCGACTGTGCCGATCAGTCCACAGCCGATCGGGCAATCGACAAGCTGAACGGTGAGTTGCTCACATGAAATTAATTATGCTAACGCTGCTTTAATGCTTTCGATTATACATGCTTTATACATTGCTTTTCCTGACAACAATCCTGACAACAACGACAACAAGGACGGCGGTGGCCAAGAGAGGAGAGAAGAAGAAATCGAAGAAGAGCATCTGCTTCAGTTTATCGCTTTGCCAATTATTTGTACTAATAAAACGTTTACCGCTTTGCCATCTTTGCTACTGCTTTTTCCCTCGAGCTTATATAATTTTTCCTTAAGCTTATAAACCATAAATATTAGTCGATTTGTTAATTAATATTTATTTATAATAATGTCTTTGTATCTTAGCGCGAAGATGAAGATTCTAAGGAAATCTTTAGGAGTTGCCTGGATGAGCGAACTAATGTTGAGTCCTCTGCTTTATCCTGATCCTGATCCGTATTTTCCTGTATGCTTAAAATGCTGTTGCTGAAAATGAATCTCATTTACAATGATATTTAACACGCTATGCTTCATTTAAACGCTTTTTTGCTAGATCTTAAGGCCGAGTACATGTAAGAAATTGCGAGGCATGCTTCCAATAGATTTTCTAAATGAATCTAGAATACGAATGTTTCATTAAGCGTTTCGAATGTTTCAAAAGAATAGCCAACATCTTGGCAAATCCCTTGGCAAATCCCTTGAAAGATTTTTTGTGAAAATACATATCTGTCAGGTTACTGTCACGTCGATAATTAACCGTCAATTTTTTTCCGACAGACGACGCGCTTTAACGTGAAGTTGGAGGAGATCGAAATACTCTCTCCGATATGTAACAAAATAATGACTGTCGATGTGACAAACAAAACTGTCGATATTATCATCATAGAATTATTAAAACAAAGTTGCTTATGTGCAAATTATAAAATTCTAGTTACCTAAGTAGAAATATTAAACACAAATTAGCACAACGTTAGAGTGATTGACAATTAGCGGCTTTATAGGAATAATCTTACATTTTGTGAAGAGAAATTTAAGGACTTTTGCATTAATGAAAACATTAATTCTTATTGCCACAACTTTCATCTACTAATATTTATCAATAACTAATATTTAAAAGTACAAATTTTGTGACCAGTGAAAAGAGATTTAACAATTTAAACGACTCATTCGATCGTGTTGGTGATAAACGGATAAATAGTGATGTGTAAACGAATATAAAAAATGTTTTTCAATATCACTGTACATATTTAAATCTCTTTGGCTTTATTTATCGTTGGGACGGGATTGAAACTTTCCGAATAATCAACGTGAAGTTCATGCGACGAGCGAATTTATGGTGCAGAATTAGGATATCATGAACGCGCGCGAAACTGACGTTATATCTCGCACGACCACCCATTTCCTCCATGGCTCCATTCATGAACAACGAACACGAGATTATGTTTGAGAATAGCTGTATCATCAATTTCGGTTTCCGCCGAAAAAAGACGATTCATTCGCAACCACGAAGTTTGAGTGTCCTCGACACGCGGCACTCAAATTCTTTTCCATTTTATCAATCATATCGTGCTCCGACTCGCGTTAAAAGATCCGATGAGAGTGTCAGATCCAGAAAAAGTGACGTATCTTATCTCGTTAAAGTTTATTTCGAAATCAAACTGCTGTACGATTACCAGTAGTAATATTTCAAAAATTAACTCTGAGAATAAGCGCACGTTCTGTCATAAAATATATCTTGGCAGCACAATTTATTGACACAATATTGACACAATGCTGGCCCGATATTGGTCCAATGTTAATTAATATATTGCCAATAAATTGCTACTAGAATATTAATTTTTAATATCTCAAGAATTAGGACGACAAAGTTACACAAAATAATCTTATTAAATTAATTAATGAAGAGAATATAATATAATACATACGATTATCGCTTCGATATTCATTTTGCTTCTAAATTAAACGTCGAAGAAAATTGTTAAATTAAAGTATTTCGCCAATTACCTTAATTTTTCTCGAAATAGGGCGAGACAATTTCATCTACACTCTACCTTCATAAAAAGATTTATAACGAATTCGATTGAATGCACTCACTGATGTACATTAAAGTGTGCCATCGTACACAAATTGTCATAAAAATATGTGCTTAATATAAATATAAAAACAAATTAAACTTCAATACATTTTAAATCCTCAATACATTTTATTGTGCCGTTATAAAATCTGTACTTTGTAATTCGAAATATTTGTATTTTATTTTTACACAGATTAAATCAGTGTATAATCGTTTTAATATGCAATAGCGTGTCCAATTAAATTTGTTATTATCCACGTGGTAGGTAGCATCGCAAAATGGCGCCAGTTATGAAGCGACAAGGTCACGTTTGTATGCTCGCCTCCGCGATAAGTCGCTGATAATCGCACGCGTCGACCAACCGTTGTCGATCGCTCCGATTACGGGTCTGACTCTTCCCGCCAAAACGAAAGTTACGTGCACACTCGAGGGATTTATCTGGTAAGACGGTTCTCGGAAAGCAGAACGTTCGAATAAACATAGAATAGCGTTTTCTACTTTACACCTAAAATTTTCGACAATTGCTTTTCAAAAAATTATTTCTTCACATAAAGGAAATTTTGTAAAATTTCTTTTATATGCCACATTGAAAAAAATATTGATTTAAATTTTGAACACCAGAAGTAGTTAATTTTAACATGCCTGCTTTTTATTACCATAATAATTACCAAAATTTCTATTAAAATTTCTATTAAAAAATTTAAGTAAAATATTACAAACAACAATTGCAAAGCTCTGTTAACATTCGTCTCGGAATAAGACTTTAATATCTTGGCTTCTGTCCATTGATGTTACTTTTCGAGACATACAACGCGCAAAAATTGTCTGCCGAGTGGAAGTTAACTATGCGTGACGAAACGTCAGACGGCTGAACGTATCCGTTAATCGCTAGACTGCCGGCGACTAGAGTTAAAACGACTATTCTACCCTTCGTTCAAACCTCTAAATATTGTTATCTTTAATTATTGTACTTTAGCTTGAGAATTTCATAGAAAATATCTCCTATCGAGAAACTAAAAAAAATTAACGCTCATATGAAACATTCTTGGAAAACATTAATTCTTTTCTATACAAGAATTTATTTATAAACAAAATTAATAACATTGTTATATTTTGCGGACCAATTTAAAACACTAGAAAATTTCTATAGCTTAGATAATACAAAAGATACGTTTTTTCAATGAACACATCAAATCAAAAGAAAGTCAAAATGATTGTTTTATTACAAAATTTGATTAGTAACGTTAAAAATTATTTTTAATTATTCAAAATAAAATAATTTTTATTTTTCGTTGACTTATGTATGTGTTCTTTGGATTGATCCAAAAGAGAGAGAGAGAGAGAGAGAGAGAGAGAGAGAGAGAGAGAGAGAGACGATTCTCTGTGAATAATTTAGAAAAATTAAAACAAGATATTTTACAATCTGTACATTTCGTATTTTCACGTCGATCTCTATTCATGCCAGCTCGTCATCTCGGTATGATCCTGACGATCCTGACCTAATGTTCCCGACTTATCCCATCGATCGTGAGAATTTGGACCGGCACTTGACTTGGAGACTCCGAGTCACGCCCGCACGAGTAGTAGTCGGTCGGTCGGTCGGGTTCTCCCGCAACCGAAGAGAAGAAATGTGGTCAAGGTCGTGAATGGTCGCGCGCGCGCGAGCACGCGTGACGTATGAAACTGCCTCCATCGCCTCTACCGCCTCCGCCGCCATCGCGACCGCCACCGTCATCTTCTCCGAGGTTGAAATTTACATCGCGAATAGTCGCCAACCTCATCTCCTCAGCTCTCCTCAGCTCTCCTCCGCCTCGCCCGCCGAAAAATCGGTTAGTCACACTCGTCACGTTCCGCGGCCATGCCTGGTATCCAGATCATAAATTTCATTGACAACTCTGTAGCTCTTGTGCGTTCTCGCGCCCATTGGTGGCTATCTCATTACTGCGTGTTAATGCACGCATATGTACGCATCGCGTCGAAACGTCGTTTAAGAGACCACGTTTCACCCTTGAACTTCTCTGATGAGAAAACGGTTCAAATTAATCCTCACCGACGCGAAAAAGTCTCAGATGTTGGAAAAAAACTTAAAATTAAACACGTATCTTTTTTTTTTCGAAGCAACCTTGTGAAGTGAAGGCGATATATTCGATTCTGACTAAACATCGTCGAAAGACTAAGATTGTTACTTTCAAATAGAATTCTTATGATATTATTAGATAAGATTTTCGAAAAAAATATCTTTAAAAAGTATATGAATTTTTACAAATTGTTGGTATGGATAATTTTAACATCACAAAACTTTAATTTGAAAAATTTTTTTCTCATATTTTAATCAAATAGAAATTAAATATTTTCGTTTTTTTCAAGAAAAGGAAATGATATTGATTCTGAATTTGCGAAAAATTCTTCTTGAAATATTTCTCTGTCGCTCTACAATTAATAAGATACATTAAGTGCCAAAAATTTTACGTTGCTTTTCTTGCTGGGCGGTTTTCTTGTACCTATATAATCTTAATTATATAGAGTAATACAATTTTGAATGAGATAAAATTTAAATCCAATTTTTGAGATTTAAGTTTGATTGTTTTCCTGTTTGGCGGTTCCCTTTAGTATTTTTCATACAACGAGATCAAGGTTATTAAACTTGAATTTCGAATTTGGATTAAATCTTATTTCGTTCAGAATTATGCCATGTTTAAAATTTGTATCATCTTATCCTATATATAGAGCGTGTGAGGGTTACTTAGAAATAAGCTACAGGAAGGAGAGCCGGGAGCCTCTTGGATTCGTGGCGAACGTGGCTTTCTCTTTCTCTCTCTCTCTCTCTTTCTTTTTCTTCTCCCTCTATATTTCGTTAGCAATACGGTCGTTGCTTCTGCAGCGTAAGGGCCGATCCTTGGATACAATGCCGCGCGAAGAACGTTACCGACGAGCCGAGGCCAGAACTAGTTTGGTAG